CCCCCCCCCCTCTCCTGGGTAAGTGCTGAAAGCTTGAATGTGTTCTGTGTTGAAATACCGATAGACCATATTATTATCGAAATTACATGATAGAGTTAAAGAACACATGGAAAAAAACAGAGTCTTCTGTCTTCCAACATCTAACAGGAAGCCACAACTTTTATGCTAATTAGCTTAACACAAGCCCTATAATTTAAAAATTTCTGGCACAACGAGCTTAATATAGTATGTGTCAACAAATGGGACAGTGTTGTCGCGATATTTGGGAAGCCGCAGGATAAGAACAAACGGGAAACGGTACGTTAACCGAAAAGCAAAATGTTGTGAGGAAATTGTTTTCCATGTTTACTTGTTTGCACTTCAAATAGTTAACAAGCTGTACCTTTCTTTGTAGGACAATACTCAATCACTGAAACGTCAACTGGTGTCTTTTCCCAAGTATAACCACTGTCATTATCTTCGAAGCAAAACTCATCAAAATCTAAAAAGAAGAATATAGTCAAAGGCAGAATATAATTACTAAGAATATAGCCACTAAGCACTATCGTTAACCGGAAGTATATGAGAAAAAGAATATATTGTTATTCTCTTCATGATATGTATTCGTCTTGTATTTGGTGCCAAATAGATCGAATTCATTTGAGAGATTTAGTTTAATTTGCTGCTAGAACCCGTCAACATTTCTGAAGTTGATGACCATCTACTGCACTTTATCGCCTACTGAAACCAACCCTACCATTAACCAAAGCAGAGTTACCTGGTGATAGTATATGTACTGCAACGTTCTGGCTTCGTCCAGAACCATCTGAATTCTTAGCAACACACCAATATTCTGCCGCATATCTCAGGTCACCACCAGGCAGTTTGATATTGGATAAATCTAGTTCCCTACTTTGACCAACACTACCAGACTGTTTGGAGTTGTACCACATAATTTCGAGATTTTCTTCATCGCCACACATTAAGGTCACTGGCTCACCTGAATGAGAAATATAGTTAAGATAAAAAATTATCAAATTGGGCATTTTGGAAGAATAACTAAACAAGGACAGAGTGGCCAAGTGCAGGTTCGTTCAAGGGACTTAACGTTGAATAAAACTAACGCATGTTTATATTTCCGTCGCTATACCCACTTCTTGTGTTCCATTCTATATTTATACTTTATTACCATAACTGTGGGAACTAGATATGTGAGAGTTCCGAAAGTTATGCATTGCTTGTTGTGTGGTGCAAATGCGTTCTAGTCTATCAGGACTTTTGGAGATAGTATTCATGGACACGATCGAGAGAAAAGCCTTAACTGGATATCAACCAATCGGCTTGTACAAATAGTATGTGGACGATTCTTACTCCCAAGCTAAAGACGAACTGAAGAATTTTAGTGCTGAAGAATTTTATATCAACATGAACGACCAACACTCCCGGGTTAAATTTTAAATGGAGAAACCCACCCGAAATGAAGATGGTTGGTCTATATCCTTACTTGATTTCAACGTCACCATAACTAATCACGGCAATAAGATTACGAGACGGATCTCCCTAAGTCGAACAAGATTAATATTGTCAGTAGCGAAAGAAAAAGAATCTATGATCGACGCAGCTCTGAACAGTCGAGACGGAAACACAGCAACCAATTTGACAAGGTGCTTCGTACCAATAAATACCCTCAGCGAGCAATTGAGCAACCAAAAATAAGAAACACAACCGAACACACTCATGCACGAAACCAGCATTGCCCCGAATTGGCTATATTTTCGTATCCCATATGCTTCTGACGCAGTAGACCGCAAAATTAAAAGACTTTTCAAGCAGGAAGAAATTCCAATATGCATTGTACATAAGTCTACTACACTTCGACAATACTCGCCCCAGACGCAAACGAGAAGATTGCAACAGAGACGGTTGCCCCATCATAAATGGCAATATGTGCAGTTCACGCGGAGTGGTATATCGCATCACGTGCAATCTATATGTCATAGAACATACATTGGTAGTACCATCAGGAAATTAGACGATAGAGTTTAAGAGCACATGGACAAAACAGAGTCTTCTGTCTTCCAACATCTAACATCTAACAGGAAGCCACAATCCTGACACAAGTGACATAAAGTTTCTATAATAGCTAGAGCCTATTTTATTAGGAAAGAAAGACCAGAACTCAATTCACAAGAAGAAAGTTCTGAACTCGCAGACCTGATGTTTTAACTTTCAGATAGTGAACTTTATTAAAAAACTCATTAATAATTCATGAAGAAAACACAAAGAAAAATCATAAGCGTGTCGTATCTGTATATGTGATACAAATTCATGTTGACTTACACAAACTTTAACTTTGATTTTCTCGGCTTAGAGAACGTTTATTTTAAAATTACTTCGCCAATGAACTCATGAGATTAGTAGTTTTTTAATCCATTTACAACATTCGCGTCCGTGTTGTATCGGATATACAAACTCTCGCCTTCGGCTCGAGTTTGTATATCCAATACAACACGGCCGCTCATGTTGTAAATAGTACTAATAGATTTTTAGTCATTTAGGATTAGTTTTTTGTCCAGGAACAATAGACCATTATTAATGTTCATTATAAATTACAGTCCTTCTGTCTCTGCCTTATTTATTATTCTACATCAGTATGTTGCGCATAAATAGCGGGGGGTATTTATGTATATTTTATTCTGAAAAAGTCGTTGAACGACGAAAGCTTAATAATTTTTTTTAAACTCGCAGTAACAACTTGGCCGCATTTGCACTACACAACAATCTGTCTATAATGTTACTGAAGTATACCATCCACCGACTTATGTTATGCATTGGGTTGCAACCGACATATAACTGATATAAGCTTGTGTTCAATCTTTCTATGGAATTAGTAAAACCTTCTTTGGCGAGTTTTCAAGAGGATGAGCCAGTGCAGAGTAGTCTCGCTAGAGATGTATGAATTACCTTCAGTAGCAGCAACATATAACGGTGAAACTTCGACAATTGGAATAACTTTGACTTCTACAGATAGATTACTGGTGATCGTATCTTCCCCCTTACTAAAATAAATAGATATCATAAACACCATAAGAAACTTTACGAAATCGCGGTCAAAGAAGCTTAGCACGCGAGTTTGAGGAGTTCGGTGACACAATGGTTTGTTCGTGTGTCTTCTAGCTTTATCACCAGTTTTGGATTCCTGCAATATGTATACTTGTCTAAATAGAACTTTGTCTCAACCGCACATGAAAAGAAGAATGCTTCTGGTTTAACTTCACCAAACACTGCAGTTTTTACTCTGTGGAATCATGTCGTAATGTAATATTGGGCCAAGAACGAGAGGATGGAGTGCCCTACCTTGAGCGAAATGAGATGTAATACAAGAACAATCCGAAGTAATTCTATCAACGGATCGACCTAGTTCATGCATGAACAAATTATTCTCGAACGCGCTTACCTGGCTATACAATAATAATCGCCAGAGTCCGATTTTACAGCTTTACGGACAGAAAGCTTTGAAACTTGATCGTTGTTTTCAATTTTTACTCTTGTTGATAAGGACAAAATCGTGTTGTTTTTCCTCCACTCAAAGCTCGGAAGAGATGGTCCAGTAACATTACATGTTATCTCGAACATGTCACCAGCGTATCCATTGTACTCTACGTCCATTTCAATATCTGTAAATGCTAAACGTAAACGGAAGATGGGAAAGTAGGTGGCTTTTACTTAGCACTATCGGGTGAAACAGATGACAGTAAATAGAAAAAATGAGTGATAAAGTATATTATTATATTGCCAGCATTTGTTTTGATGACTCGCGCAATTTGATTGGCTGCTGACGAGGCAGAATTTTCCCGTATTGCCCACGGGCAATACGCAATTTTTATTACCCTACGAAGCTGCGACGAGAGCCGAGTTTCAAACGGCAAAAAGTGTGTAAAAGTCTTTCAAACTATTCAAAACGAAGGAAAATAGACCTAAAATTGTGGAAAGCAGCAACTATTCTGGCTAAAGAACTTTTTCAACACGGTTTTGTTAGCGAAAGTCGAAGTTACATGGTAAATTTTACAATCGGTGTTTAAATATTAAAGCAATCAAGAATAGTTGTGTTTTGCCTATAGCTATGTGAAGAGCTGCAAATTATATTTGCAGATGGCCAGGAAGAATCTGACACGATCTATTACATAAAAAATACAACTAAAGCAGTAGTCACAGATTTATAATTTTTCCCTGAAAATGTCTGTTTTTGTTAGATAAAAAGAGACATAAATATAAGAGGAAGCAAACTAAAACGTCCTTGTCGATGCTGTTTATTAATTTTATAGTTTTCGTATTTGTTGTCTTTGATTAAATGACGAAATACCTCCCTATACCTATATACCTATCCAAACTGTGTTAGTATTCTACAAAAAGTGCTGTAGAGTGGTTTTACTAACCAAGAGAACATTTTACAATTTTTTTTTCAAAAGTTTCGACTTTGTACTTTGCCCTCGCGTGACCTTTTTTCCCATTTTTTACAAACGCACAATGCCATATAATAATAACGGCTTATTGACCGAGCGTGAGGTCTGTACTGTGAAATATCAGACCGGAGTTTTTCAGTATGGACCGAGCGACGAAGGAGCGAGGTTCATGCAAAAAACAGAGGTCTGATATTTCACAGTACAGACAGAACAAGCGAGGTCAATAATCGGTTTATTATATGGCTGAACTGAGTCTGCCAGCATATGCTTTTCGCGCGAATTAAATCGGCTATCGTCAGTTTCACTGGGTAACAATATACAGTAGGCATGCATGCTCAATCAAAAACAATTTGGTTGTTTGAAATTTTTATCTGTAAATTTTAATGACACAAAATTGGAAAATTAAAAAGCAAAATTTTTTTCTGTTTGCAAAGCAAAAATTTCCCGCTAGATAAACAACATCCGGGACACCGGTCCAGATACGGAAAATACGGACCACGGTCCGGATATGGGTTTTTACGGACCGCTTGTCAACCAATCAGAATAGAGAATTTTGAAAAGCCATATAATAAAAAACCTTACTGACCTCAACTATTCGGGCAGTACCGGAAAATATCCACCCTCGGTCTTGCTGTATTGACTTCGCTATCGCTTGGTCAATACAGTAAGTCCTCGGTTGGATATTTTCCCGTACTGCCCGAACTGTCGGTCAGTAAGTTATTAATATTTGCTTCTTTTACGTCAACAAGTTTGAAGTTGGTCATCGTTTGCTGTCCCATAACGCTTACAAAATCAACCTATCCCGACGCTTAGGCCTTCATTGGTAGCTATATACGAATCATACCCTGGATTATCCAATACTCTCAAATTACGGGGTATATCAGTTGTTATCAATGAGTCAGGCACAACAGAAGACTTACATTTATCGTTATACCAAACATTGTCCCGATCGCAACTTTTCACAAAAACAGTTTGGCAGATCATTGGGTCAGCAACCCCCTTCGCTCCCCTTGCCTAATGCCACTATTTGTTAGCATAATTAAAACTTTTTATCGGTTTATTTGAAAACTTAAAAAGATAAAATAAATTGACAGAAAATCTTCATGGTTGCTAAGAAAAAATGCAAAAGACCAACTAGAAACAATTTTGCCGAAATGATCGATAGACCGAAATGATCGCTAGTTAATTGTCAAAATTTATCATTCCATTTTTTTTTTCAATATTCCGCAGGCCCTGCAATGTTTGTGTGACCTTCCCATGGTTCAGCTGGGGCGGTTGAGAAGGCAGCATGATACGCTAGACAGCGGAGCTTACGTGTTGAAGATATAAATACGACCAACAAGAATACTATACAATATTGTATTTTTGCGTAGTCTAAGCAACGCAATGTTCCCATTGGTGGAGAGTCACTGATTGACAGGTAGTGCAACATTAATATTGGAAACGCCTATAAAAACGCCTATTCTTAATTATCGAGATTTTTTGGCATCTCATTCGATTCAGTAATATTTATTATATAATAACTACAGTGAAACACGCAATTTGATTGGTCAACAGCCATGCAGGATCAGACAATCCTGCACGGGAAATTCTGAACAGAAATTCTTGCACATAATTTTATAAATATACTCGCATTGTAAAGTTTCATTGTACGATACCTTTCGACTTTGAAGTAAGTTTCCAATTATTGAGACGTTGGTTTAGTTGTATGAATACATTTCTGATCGATACATTGCTATTCAGCAAGTAGCAACGCGTATAGCGTTGAAATTCATCAGACCATGGCATGTAAGTACAACATCTCTCGTTTCAAAGTTGATCAAACGCTTCGCAATCTTCACATATTCAGCTGGAGAATCTTCAATATTACTTTGGCTCTCTGTTTAGCGGATTTTCTATTTCAAATTTCGTATATCTTATCGAAAAAGTCCCTGTATTTTCGCTGTATATTTTCGCGAATTTGCGATCAAATTCTGTTCACATTTGTTGTTGTTTTCAATAGCGTGGAGTAGCGATTCTCTGATTGGTTAATTCAGGAATGTTGTGAGAACTGCACATTTCATCAGTAATTTTAATCACGTTAAGCGTCGTTTCACTGTAGTAATTTTATAAAACAATTACCAAATGGTTTTCCCATGCAGGATAGCATGATCCATGCACTTGGGATGTTGCTCGACTTTCGGAAAGCGTAAAAATACACTCGCCTACGGCTCGTGTTTTTTACGCTTTCCGAAAGTCTCGCAACATCCCGCGTGCATGGATCATGCAATCCTGCACGAAAAACCATTCGGTATTCCTTTAAAAGGTCTTGTTACCGATTGGAAATTTATGTACATTTATTAGATAATTATTTACCCATAACCTAAAACATGACAGAATATGGCTCTGCTGACTACATGGTATGCATGCTAGACAACTAAAGCCTACTGTAAGGATTAGTTTTTGGAATGGGAGGAAAACGTGAGGACCCAAAGCACAGGACACAACAAACACCATGCAACCTCAGTAAATCCCCTATACCGTTGACCAACAGTAACAGGCTTACTAACTCTATGGTGCAGCCTACTATCCGCATCTTCCATCCATGCTTTCCAACTTCGCTTCTCAGTTTCAAGATTTGGTTTTTATTTTGTGTATAGCTTTATTACATTTATTCCCAACTCGAGTTCAAACTTACGTTTCAACTCGATTATAGAGGATGAATACAGCTAATTCAACGAAGGATGTTCTCCGAAGGTTAAAACTTTCGACCAGCTCGATCTCTAAGCGCGAAAAGCACGATGTGCATGGGTATTATTATGAGATTGTCGTTATGCTATAATTTAAATTTATAGTCGATTAGTCGTTATGCTATAATTTAAATTGCTATAATTTAAGTATTTGTCTAGCATTTATGACAATCAATCAAGTGAATTTATTATAAATTCCCAAAGCATGCTCACAAACAACATGCTTCAAGGTTAAAAAAAAGAAATATCCCAGGAATTCTGCCGGGTTTGCTACTGAATTGCGTTAGACGGGAGAATAAAATACGAGAAAGAGAAAATCACTGGATTTCGTACATTACAAATGGCCATGGCATTTTCACGCAAAACCAACACGGCTTTTGGGACGTCGAAACCGTAACTAAGGAGTGTTGGAAGTCTGAATTACAGTGATTGTTTGCAAATCCATCGTGCTTTTCGCTCTTAGAGTTCCAGGATTTTGACTTTGAAAAGACAACTTTAATTGAATTGAATTGGTTGCATACACTTCTACATAACTGTTATTAGTTACTGGTACCTGTGCAGGTCTTCCCGTCTCCAATAAAACCGGACTTGCAATTACAATGATGTGTTCCATGCAAATCTTGACAAACCGCATTAGCATGACAAATGCCTGTCTGATTACATTCATCGATATCTACATCAAATATAAAAGCGATGAATAGTTTGCATTTTTCACGAAAATCGTCAGCAACAGTATAGCCTGGTTTCCAATTATGGTGGTAATGGTCGTGAAAATAGAGTCACGATCTTTCTCAACGGCCAGTTTATAATATTTTTATTATACCTGTAAACCACATATCAATCATGAGTATTCTCTAGTTATAATCGCGCCGCGTATTTTCAGTTCTAAAATGTTGTATTTCGGCTGAAAGATCGCGACTCGATCTTTACGATCGTTACGACCATATGGAAACCAGTCTTAAGATAACAGTAATAACAATGGGAAAATTTTGCATTTGGTGCATGTTTCCATTTAGCATGTTCAATGGTGAGATGTACTTCAAAGCTTTCAAAGCCGAACTTATACAAAAGCAAAATACAAACAAATACAGCAAAATACAAACATCAAGTCGAAAGATAATTTTTCAGTCGAAAAATGGCTGCAGTTTATCATTTCGTCTCTCTTGACGATGTATAGTCGTGTTAATAATAGTTTTAAACTTGGATATATATGAGTTTGTCTGTATTTGTCTATAATTTTGTTTTCATGCATTGATGCATGTACAGTATTTATAAAATACAAAACAATAGATACTCCGAAAAATCAAAATGCTTTCAATTTTCGGAGTATCTATTGTTTTGTATTTTATCAAAATACTCAGTGGTTCCCGTAATTTCAGTATTTATAAGCACAAAAATTTAAAAAATATTTCTAACCTGGATAAAACATAGCGATGAAACCCGAAATCAACTATCTATTTTTTTTGCCCGAGGCGTCTCGAAAGCAAGAGATTCCTGCAGAGGATGCTACGCCAATAGCCTTCTTATAAATGTTCTTGTCCCCGAGCGTAAGCCCGGAGCGAGGGTACTAATTCCGTCCGGCTATTTACACCCGGGGAAACGAAAGCATTAGCGAAGTATAAAGTTCATCAATTATCGTGGACGTGGCTCACCAACGAAGTTTCGGTGGGTGGTGATCCTCACTGATCTCAAACATTTGGCGGACTGTCATGAATAGCGAACACTGATTGGTCAAATTTAAAATTTGTTGTTGTATGACGAATGACGACAGCGAAATGACAAACATTTCTCGAAAATCAGCAAATATATTGTGTTTTTTGCCCCGGTTTTTGCAAGATTTTCAAATTTCAAAACCTTTTGGCGAGCCAAAAACCGTCGTCTGAAAACGCTAAAAGAATCGAGCAAAGTCGCGGTGTTAATGAAGCTACATTTGTTTTTTAATTTGATGTATAGTTTGCTTTTAGTTCTAAGGTCATTTTAAAACGTTTTGCGAAGCGTTTACGGTTGAATTTCACATCAAATTGAAGCTTATATTACGTATAATAACATACCTAGCACTGCCTAGCATATATATATATATATATATATATATATATATATATATATATATATATATATATATATATATATATATATATATATATATATATATATATATATATATATATATATATATATGTTTGGGAAATTGCTCATTTTGTAATTAAAAGTGATATTTTGGGGGGATATTTTTTATTTAAAAACTATTCTTAAAATTATCGTGTTAATACCATGACAATACTTCATGTTTGGAATTCAGCAAGGCGAGGGTTTCTGCATGCATGTATTTTCTAGGTATACATTATATAGTCACTGCAGTATGTGTCTCAGTCTGATTGACTGCTAGCAGATAACTCAGTTATGCGTAGGATGAACCAGCGGTATGAAATTTTATAGCAAGCGGCAGTTTTAAACACACGAATAAAAACAAGAAAAACAACATGCATGTCAACGAACAGCGTTCTTGCGAATATTTTTGTGCAAAAAGCAAACTTTTTGACATTTTTATCGAAACTCCATTAGGGAAATGAGTTTTCTATTATTTTTAACCTGTTATGTGATATTTTAAATCGTTTTCACTGGGGTTTTTGAGGACCAAACTTTTTTTTGTGCGACAAATCATTGTTTATCGAAAGAGTTATGGGTGAAAATGAGATGTAGGCCTATAATAAAACAGTTATTGAGTTCGATTTTTTGTCGGGTATCCTGAATTATCAAGGTCTTGGTAAGTGTTATCAATCTCGCATCGCCTCGAGTGGTAAGTGTTATCAATCTCACATCACCTTGACCTTACGTTTAATGCACTGCCTGCCAGTGGCCAAATTAAAGGCAGACCATATTTTAGAAATAGCTGGTGAATATAATTTTGATATCAAAAATAAAATGGCAGGCGGAATTCTACATAGCTATTGTTTCAATTCATACATATTGTTTCGCGCAGGACAATCTTGTCGGTTCAAAAATAGATATTGCAAAGACATAATAAATTTGATCCGGCAAATTTGTCAGGCCAATAGTTTTTCGAACTATGAATAAAAATACGTGACAATTACTTGCGCAGTTCAATCCATCGCCAGTGAAACCAGGCTTGCAAACACATGTAAAACTACCAAGTTCCTCGTTACAAGTTGCATCGGCATGGCAAGGATTGTTGGCCCTACATTCCATGATATCTAAACAAAGATAGACCAATGTTTCACAAACGGTTTTGTAGTGCAATAAATGTTGTAGTGCAAAACTAACATGGAACATAGTCTATCAAGATATGATGGTCTGGAAACTAAACAGAAGTTATTGGATTATTGGAAGTCATTGAGCTCATTGTATTTCATATAATAAAGTAACCGCCCAATATGGATAGCTACCGCCCAATATGGATATCGATCAAGCACGATGAATAACATTCAATGAAGTTGAGACAAAGGATTTGTGCACTGTACGATACAGTTCAACTTCAAACAAAGGCCTTCGATCAATTTTGTAGCATTGAGGTTTTCCGACCTCCCAGACCATCATATCTTAACAGATTATAAATAGAATAATGGAATGGTCATAATTTTAATTTGACAAAAACATGAAATCTCACGGAAGGTCATCTCTAAAACTTAATGTTATCATTTTGCAATCCAACCATGCCAAGTGCTTTTCCTTGCACTACCGGCTAATAGACCTACAATTGCCTGTCGCATAAACATTTTAACTATTTTGCAAGTCGTCACTCTAATTTATCTATGTTTTCTACTTTAATGAACAACAGGCTCCAGGTTTCAAGATAATACATGTATGGCACCATAACAAATGCGCAGTGAAACTGATCAATCATTCAGGTATTGTTTTCTTTGGCACTTTGATGCGTTCTAATATGTATGGGGGGGGGATGTATGGATGTGTACAATTATCATTTGAACAAGACCTTATGTAGTCAGGGTTGTCATAAATAAAATGCATCCTAAAAAAAGGTAATAATACGGAAAAACAGGAGTGGTAATAATACGGAAAAACAGGAGTGAAGCAGAAGAAAAAACAGAAAAAGAGAAAGAAAGAAAACGGGATGGGAGGGAAATTCTGGGCAAACCCCCTCAAACCACTCCAGAATATATAGCAAGACAGTAACCACTGGGGCAAATTAACCCCTGGGTTCATTTCTATTTCAACATTTGATTGTACTAACCTGTGCAGACTTTACCATTTCCAGTGAAGCCCGATTTACATTGGCAAACATATGAACCTTCCGAATTTGAACACGTGCCGTTGATATGACATAGTTCAGAATGTTCGGCGCACTCATCAATATCTACAATGCGATTAATGATTTTTTTGTTTTGTTTATTGAGTAGCCAATGGCATGGCAAAGGGTATCTCTTCTTTTAAATGGTCTATTCACTCAAAGTTATAAGTGTGCAAAATATAAATTAATTAAACAAACTCATTCATTCCTGACGAAACTTGATAACGAATACAATATAAAGATTTCTGCTTTTACAAAAGATGTTGGGCATTGATCAAATTATTTATAATCACGTGATCAGTCACGTAATTACTACTTATTTCAAAATGGTGCCATGTTCAAAATTTTAATCTACATATCTTTATTCTTAACCCATGGCGTCAATACAGGTGTTCTTACGTCATTTCAGGGAATATTGCGTCTGGCATTAGCGGGAACTACGGACAGCAGAGGAAAGCATTGTTTGAATTCGCCTGAAAATGGCTTTTGTCATTAATATTAAGTAAGTCGATGTAATGTCAGTAATATTAAGTAAGTCTATCAAGATATGATGGTCTGGAAACTAAACAGAAGTTATTGGATTATTGGAAGTCATTGAGCTCATTGTATTTCATATAATAAAGTAACCGCCCAATATGGATAGCTACCGCCCAATATGGATATCGATCAAGCACGATGAATAACATTCAATGAAGTTGAGACAAAGGATTTGTGCACTGTACGATACAGTTCAACTTCAAACAAAGGCCTTCGATCAATTTTGTAGCATTGAGGTTTTCCGACCTTCCAGACCATCATATCTTAACAGATTATAAATAGAATAATGGAATGGTCATAATTTTAATTTGACAAAAACATGAAATCTCACGGAAGGTCATCTCTAAAACTTAATGTTATCATTTTGCAATCCAACCATGCCAAGTGCTTTTCCTTGCACTACCGGCTAATAGACCTACAATTGCCTGTCGCATAAACATTTTAACTATTTCGCTAGTCGTCACTCTAATTTATCTATGTTTTCTACTTTAATGAACAACAGGCTCCAGGTTTCAAGATAATACATGTATGGCACCATAACAAATGCGCAGTGAAACTGATCAATCATTCAGGTATTGTTTTCTTTGGCACTTTGATGCGTTCTAATATGTATGGGGGGGGGATGTATGGATGTGTACAATTATCATTTGAACAAGACCTTATGTAGTCAGGGTTGTCATAAATAAAATGCATCCTAAAAAAAGGTAATAATACGGAAAAACAGGAGTGGTAATAATACGGAAAAACAGGAGTGAAGTAGAAGGAAAAATAGAAAAAGAGAAAGAAAGAAAACGGGATGGGAGGGAAATTCTGGGCAAACCCCCTGAAACCACTCCAGAATATATAGCAAGACAGCAACCACTGGGGCAAATTAACCCCTGGGTTCATTTCTATTTCAACATTTGATTGTACTAACCTGTGCAGACTTTACCGTTTCCAGTGAAGCCCGATTTACATTGACAAACATATGAACCTTCCGAATTTGAACACGTGCCGTTGATATGACATAGTTCAGAATGTTCGGCGCACTCATCAATATCTACAATGCGATTAATGATTTTTTTGTTTTGTTTATTGAGTAGCCAATGGCATGGCAAAGGGTATCTCTTCTTTTAAATGGTCTATTCACTCAAAGTTATAAGTGTGCAAAATTTAAATTAATTAAACAAACTCATTCATTCCTGACGAAACTTGATAACGAATACAATATAAAGATTTCTGCTTTTACAAAAGATGTTGGGCATTAATCAAATTATTTATAATCACGTAATCAGTCACGTAATTACTACTTATTTCAAAATGGTGCCATGTTCAAAATTTTAATCTATATATCTTTATCCTTAACCCGTGGCGTCAATACAGGTGTTCTTACGTCATTTCAGGGAATATTGCGTCTGGCATTAGCGGGAACTACGGACAGCAGAGGAAAGCATTGTTTGAATTCGCCTGAAAATGGCTTTTGTCATTAATATTAAGTAAGTCGAATGAAAGTGATCATTTGAAACTCTATCGAGTAAATGTGACGATCAATTTATAACATGTATGTTTTCATTCATTTTAAACATTTGCCACCAAAAATGGAGAAAGATGGAAAAAACAATTACGCCACCATGACGTACGTGTTACGAAAAATCTAATGCGAAACTATATAGGCCTGTTTCACACGTCGCGCTTCTCATGTGTCGAACGCATTAAAAACAAAAGATAATCAGCTGAAATGCCTCGTTATCTATTGTTTCTAATGCGTTCGGCACATGAGAAGCGCGACGATCGAAACGGGCCTTAGCAGCGCATAGTTAGCACCTATAAACGATCATAAGTGGCTATAAACGATCATCAAAAGTATTACTTCATTATGAAATATATAGTACCAAAAAAATTTCAGATACAAAAAAGTATTACGTGGAATTAAGCATCTAAATAACAGACATTTTGAATTACCGGTTGTATAAAACTCTTAATCACTTTTTCAATCACTATTTTGTAGTTAAATAGTGATTATCTCTCAAATAGCCGCTTCTTATTGGATGACATTTCCACTTAAGTATGATTAACTTTAATCACTTTTTTATACAACCGGGCCCTGACTTTTGCCAGTTGAAAACTTTATTAAATTTTCTGCCATTCAAGTGAGTGAGTGAATGATTTTTTCGTTTGAGTTTCAATGCATGCCAGTGATTACAAATTTGCTTCTGCATAATTTTCTTATAATTACAATAGTAATAAGTAAAAGTATGATTTTTCGTGCAATTTGGAATTAAAAAAACATACACTCGTGAGTTTTTCAAAGACTTGCACTCTATCTGCATCATACTTTTTGATGTTTCATGTCCCGTCACTATGATCGGCATAGTTAACAATTGCAACTGCATGATTCTGTTACCTACCCAGATAAACCGACTTGCTTGTCGGGCTACCTATTCCTCAGACAAGAATCCGCAGGGAGAGAGAAGTAGAGGTCGACCGCGAAACAGCTGGACCAGACACGCCAAAAATGACTTGAAGAATTAGAAGGAGCAAGGAGTTCGTTAGACAGACTTCATCGGAATCTTCTTCAGAGGAATCATCGATGCCTATATACTTTGCCGGAGGCGAAGCGCTTAAGAGGGCCTCTCAGTAAAATCCACTCACTGGTTTGGGGAAGGGAAAATAGATTTAGCTCATATTTTGCATATGAACTAGACTGTGGTCAATATTAATCGAGCTTCTTTCAGAACGTTTCAACTTTCTGTTTTATAGGAGTTATAGCCATGTTAAAATTTGACCTTGCGAGAATATTTTCAGACCGGAAATGAAGGGGAATTTTACAAGAATTCATCTGATTTTTTAAAAACGTTGTGATGCGTTTATCCCCTCTAGTTACTGTTCACATGCAAGAATAACACTAATACTCTCGTCTACATGGAGATTGAACAACTTTATTTGCTTAATACGATTTTTTTATAGTTTTACGAAACTATGTTTTCAAGATGGCGACGAGTGGCCGAAAATTGCTCATATTTTATTTAAAATAGCTCAAAAGTGGCACCTATCTGAAGTTCAAAAGGCATGTAATTTGAAAGTATACCTACTAAAGTTAAGTAATCAGGAATAAAACTCGTCTGCAAGCAATTTTCTGAAAAGTTAATTATAAATCTCCAAATTGGGTCTATTTTTAGCTGTTTGTTTACATTCGCGTGTTCGCTGATAAGCGACACTAGTAATTGAAGAGTTAAAATAAGCTGATTTATTACCCATGAGTAAACTTTTTTAGCTTGTTCAAAAGAATATATACAATTTTGTGAAAATATAATTACAATATATACAAGCGATCGTGTACAGAAATTCTTGAATTCAAATTGCTTTACATTTATACTTAACTTACACTTGCACTAATTATACACTTTCAATATACACATACAGTAGTAGGCTACAGTTACAACGATTCTGCTGGTGTCTACGACCCTGATATCTTTTAATGTTATTAAATAATATATTGGTAATATAATAAGAACTTCGTCAATACATTGACACAATACCATAATCTCCTGTTTATGACCTTGACTGCCGCTCCCACGGCGGGAGGTGCATGTCTGAACGACCAATGTGAGTAGAAAACTTACATAAGTGTCTCTGTGCGATGTTTAGGTCATGCAATAGTGTTACAGGTAATATCGGTTTAATGCACTTTGCAGAAACTCCCATGATTTTGATGTCGCTCAATATGATAATCAGAATCCTGTTCAGCCGAAGGGTTGCTATTTTTATGAAAATGCGTGTACTGACCAAAATCTAGCTCGATTAGACAAATTTGGGTAACGTTTGTTTATACCCAATTCACAACTTTATATAACACACATGCCTAGTTACTATGGTTCTATATTACAAAAGCATAAAATAGAACAAAGTAACTAACTCTTATTGTTATATAGTCTTATAACTCTTATTGTTAGTTAGTGTCAAAGTTCAATTTTTCTATTTGCCGATTGTCAAAACCGTGTCACGTGCCGGTCCACAAAACCTCATGTTCGGCAACCGGTCTGCAATGAAACATTTATTGACCAGTCAATAATAAAATGGGTGCAATACGCATGTGTGTCAACCGCGAAGTTTCAATGTTCATTTTTTAAACTTTTTATTTACGGCGTTCCATTTATCCAGTTTTGGTTTCAAATTAAGTTCACTCCAATAATCGGTGAATTATTCATACTTTAGTCTTTAACACTTATATACTATCTATAAGTGGCTCTGGTCCACAAAACACACAGTTTCCCTCGATCTCAGTAAATATAAAGTGATAATACATAAGTTTAATGTTTAGTTACTTTTGTTCTATTCAGTCTATGCCTCCGTAAACTAGAATAATAGTAACTATATATAGGCATGTGAGTTATCCAAAGCTGTGAATTGGGTAGCAACGATGTAAACAACGTTACCCAAATTTGTCTACCGGCTTCATAGTTATATAAGTCTATCCACTGATCTCATATTGACAGGATAGACCCAATTGAAAATGATACTGATCTAATAACAGACTGGATAGTCATGTTTGTCAGCTGTTCCTGGGTAGGTAAAAGTGCCCTGCTCTGGCAAGTATAAGTTCACTCTCGTTGATGGTAAGCTTCGTGAGGTGACAACTGCTGGGGTGAGTACAAATGTCTGCATACACTCCCCAATTTGTGCAACTTTCTGTATTCCCCGGCTTTCTCCACATGCAAAATTCCCCAGGCCAGCAAAAGAACAGTTCTTTTCCATGACTCAAGCATGCACAAAGTAAAAATAGGAGCTGCTATAAAAAATAACTGGCAAGCTAGTGTTGCAGTTCAGCATGAGCTCCACCTTTGAATTTACTATACGAGTAAATTCTTAAACACGTCCGAAATTATCATTATGATGAATTCGCAGCACATTTTGAATTTATCATAATAATAAATTCGCGGCATGCACTAACCCCTAACCACTAATCCCCTAACTCCTAACCAGTAATCCCTAACTACTAACCCTAACTTTTTTAATTAACCGTTTTAAATTTTTTTAACTTTTTTAAAAATCTAACTTTTTAAACTTTTTTGCTTTTTAAAACTCTTTTAAAACTTTTTTAAAAACTATTTTTTTGAAAATCTCTGTCTGTTACTGCAGTATTTCTGTTATTGTAGCGGTTAACAAATTATAGGGAAATACGACGACATAAGTTAAATTTCAAAACTTTTATGTGTTCATATGCAGTGAATCAAACGAAAAATGCATCCTTTGTTACAATTATTTAAAATATTACAAAAATAAAGAAACAACTAAATTTTATCGCCATATTTCTCCATAATTCGGCAACCGCTGCAATAATGCAAAAGTCAAAACAAAATAACAAAATGACAACAGACTACAAAAGCGGAAGTGGGAAGGTTGTAGTATTTTGACTGCAATTATGTACAAAAATATGTTGCATCCATGCTGCACGAATTAATGTCCGACCTTTCCGGCAAAATTTCCATTTACAAGGACAGAAAAAGATTACGAGACGAGTTGAATAAATAAGTTAAAGCACCGAACACTTTTTATATACAGCCAGAGATACTGACAGCTTTGAAATTTGCTACAAGCACAGAAAGTACTGCCCGATTATACCTTGAAAAGATATTTAATTAACGGTTGTGAAATTATTCATGCGAATAAGCCAAGAATGTTTAAGGTTGTATTTTTAATGTTTTTTATGTTGTTAATTAGAACCTGGATAATAAACCAGCTTATTTAACTTTTTAATTATTACTAGTGTCGCTGATCAGCGAACACGCGAATGTAAACAAACAGCTAAAAATAGACCCAATTTGGAGATTTATAACTTTTCAGAAAATTGCTTGCAGACGAGTTTTATTCCTGATTACTTAACTTTAGTAGGTATACTTTCAAATTACATGCCTGTTGAACTTCAGATAGGTGCCACTTTTGAGCTATTTTAAATAAAATATGAGCAATTTTCGGCCACTCGTCGCCATCTTGAAAACATAGTTTCGTAAAACTATAAAAAAATCGTATTAAGCAAATAAAGTTGTTCAATCTCCATGTAAACGAGAGTATTAGTGTTAATCTTGCATGTGAACAGTAACTGGAAGGGATAAACGCATCACAACGTTTTTAAAAAATCAGATGAATTCGTGTAAAATTCCCCTTCATTTCCGGTCTGAAAATATTCTCGCAAGGTCAAATTTCAACACAATCTCGTTCCCCGAGCATGCCCGTTCGCAGGTTAAGGGTGGGCATAGCTCTGGAGAAATCGAATTGATTCACGTTGGATTTCCAACGTGAGTTCTACGCATGCTCGGCAATTGTTGCAAAATATAAACAAAGTATTTAGAATTTCTCGTCGAAAATTTGATACTTTTTACACTGAAATCGAATTGAAAACAACTAAAAATTCTGGGGGAAAGCTTCGGATTGATAGGGATACAACTACCTGAAAAGTACAAGGAGAACTTCAACATTTCGTGCGAAGGCGCTTCGACATGTATTGTAGTGTTCGTATACATCGTACTTGACCTTTGCTGATAAATATAATCTCCTCAAGAATAAGTATTCACTATATTTTTATGCTTTAAAATTTACATGTAACTCTCCTGTCAGAATTTATGGTATACATAGTGTTAGGTATGACAGTATGTCAGTATATAAAAGGTCAAGTACGATGTATACAAACACTATAAACAGCACAAGTCGAAGCGCCTTCGCTCGAAACGTCGAAGTTCTCCTTGTATTTTTCAGGTAGTTGTATCGAAATCAATCCGCAGCTTTCGTACATATTTCCTCCAGAATTTCTAGTTGTTTTCAATCGATTTCGGTGTAAAAAGTATCAAATTTTCGACGAGAAATTCCAAATACTTTGTTTATATAGAACTCACGTTGGAAATCCAACGTACTGTCTGCCGTTAGCCAATCACAGGCCTGAATCAATTCGATTTCTCCAGAGCTATGCCCACCCTTAACCTGCGAACGGGCATGCTCGGGGAACGAGATTGATTTCAACATGGCTATAACTCCTATAAAACAGAAAGTTGAAACGTTCTGAAAGAAGCTCGATTAATATTGACCAAAGTCTAGTTCATAGGCAAAATATGAGCTAAATCTATTTTCCCTTCCCCAAACCAGTGGGTGGATTTTACTGAGAGGCCCTCTTAAGTAACAAAAGCCGGCTACCTAATTCTTTGTTTGCAATGACGTAATTTTGGGATTTCAGTTGAAGGCAGCTATAACAAAATACGGCTATTTTAATGTATTGATCGAGTTTAGAGACAGTTTAGAGACAGAGAGATTCAAAAGATGAATTACCATTCTGTTTTTCTTTATACAACCAGTCTGATAGGAGAAAAATCGTCCACAAGTTTTTTGATCGCCCCTCGTTGGATTAAAAGTCACGTGATTGCAAACAAAGAATATACTCAGTGCAGAAGTATTCAGAGTTGGTAATATTTTCTATGTAGCTATGTTAACATACATACATCCTTACCTATACAAGCATTTCCCTGCTTCATATAACCTTCATTACAGGTACATGAGAAACTACCATTAGTGTTTGTACATGTACCACGTAGACAGATATTCGAGTCGACACATTCATTGATATCTTAGAAGGAAAAAGGCCAAAGTATGAATTTGACCCAGAAACCCACGCAGGGAGAAGGAACTGCCGTAACTTTGCTGTTTTCCATACTTTCTGTCCCAAAACAGCAAATTCGTAGCATTTCCCGGGCTGCTGTCTCATTTACATTAACTTCCACAACGCGTGCAATATTGACATTAGCAAACAGGTGGCCATTTTGTTTAAAAAAAAAGACACTTTTAAATTATTAATATACTCTTAACCTAATTTCTAGAGTTGAGACAATTTCGTCGATTAAGATCGCCAAACAGTTGAAAGGCAAACAGTTGGTTACTTTGACTGCCAAATGTCAATGGAATGATATAATATGTTTGTTATTCAATTTAGTATATAAGCAAAACTGCGAAGCTTGTACAGAAAGCGCGCGTAGATTTTTTACCAGATACCCTGTATAATACAATCTGATTCATGTCAGACTCACATTCATGTTACTACTTGCGAACCAATAGGTTTAGTTAGTGCCTCTTTGTCAATTATTTAATAGTCAAATTAATTCCACTAAACACAAGTTTTATACTCGATTGTTTTCACTTTATACATTCATTTACACAATGATATATGGTTTACGCTGACATTCTTACCACTACAAGCAGTGTGTCCATCACCCTGGTAACCCTGAATACATTGACAGCTGAATGAACCAGGCGCATTTGTACACGTAGCTATTTCTGCTACACATCCGTCTGGACATTCATCAATATCTATGGGATAAAATAATGAAGTATTAGGGCGAATTAATTACCGATTCAATACCCAACGATTCGATATTCCTGTCTGCTTTGCTCAGGGGGACACAGAGTTACAACTTACATCATCATGCCTAAAGAAGACACTGCACTAAAACTAATAGTAGGGAAATGATTGCATGCAATTCCTTCCGGTATCAACTATACTTTTAAACTTGAAGATGTAAAAACAGATTTATATTTTTGAGGAATGCAGTAGTATACGAAGAACTGGCGAAATAATATTGATGCTATAATTTAGCTTTAGTATGGGAAGGTATTCTGAAAATTTTGTTGCATTTAATTTCTGTTTTTAAATCTAATCTAGTTACTTAGTGAATGAGTGATCTGGTTACACCTCAGTGAGCAGCGATTTTGAGAAAGTATCGTTACTAATTATTACCTGTGCAACTATTATTGGCGTCACCCGTATAGCCAGCTTTGCAAATACATGTATAACTTCCTTCATCATTGCTACAATCAGCATTTACATGACATGGGTTCAGTCGACACTCATCAATATCTAGAATAACAATAAACATAGACTTTATAATATAGTCAGTAAACATAGTCATGATCTATATCATACAGTAGATATTAAAAATATTTATATGCGCACTTATCACATTACTTCTCACAAGACGATTTTTACTTTCCCAAAATATAGGAGATAATTTCCAATTCAGTTCGGTGTGTTTGTTTTTGTTATCAGGAAAACGTAAAAAAAATATTAAACTGTATAGTATAAAAGTCAGGGACCGGAAATCGATGCTGATGCATTTGGTTAGTCTTTTTCTCATGGTTTGTATGCATAATATAGTTTATGCATGAAATCTTTACAAAAACTTTAGAGTCAGTTGCAATTTATCATTTGGCGTGCATAAACTAAACATTTGTTCATTGTTTCAATTAACTTACTAGAAAATACATGCATGCAGAAACCCTCGCTTTGCTGACAAAACCATTGTATTTTCCGAATATGAAGTATCTAAAGAAGTTGTCATGGTAACACGATAATTTTTTAAGAACATTCTTAATACAAATGAAAAATCGCCTACAAATATCACTTTTAATTACAAAATTATCAATTTCCCAACCCGCATCACAGACATTAGCCAATCTTTGATTGACGTGATTTTGGTCAGTTCTCCTAATACCGTACGTGACAATGGTGTCCTAAACTGCACTATCAGTGATCACCTGCCCGTGTATGTTACGCTTAAGCTAAAGCCTACCAAACCACCACCCACATTACAGTTCGCAGTTATAAGCACTACGACCCCGAATTATTTGCCGCTGACCTCGCATCTAAATCTGAACGCCTTCTTTCCATCTTTTCAGTCAATGGTCCCCGAGCCGACGGCGCGAAGCGCCGTGCGAGGGTATTAATTCCGCCCGGCTATTTACACCCGGGGAAAGGAACGCACTAGCGAAGTCTAAAGTTCATCAAATATCGTGGGCGCATGGCTCACCGTTCATGGGTGGTCATCCTCCCTGATCTCAAAATATGTAGCGGACTGTCGTGATAGTGAACATTGATTGGTCAAATTTGAAATTTGCATTATAACGACTGCATTGACGACAGCGAAATAACAAACATTTCTTTCAAGTTGTATTTTTGCAAGATTTTGTAAATTTCAAAACCTTTCTGAGAGCAAAAAAAACGTCTAAAAACGTCTAAAAGAATAGAGCAAAGTCGCCGATGTTAATTAAGGTAAGTTTGTTTTAAATATTGATGTATTGTTTGTTTTATAATTGATATATTTATAATTGATAGTGGTGTGCGATACTGTGAATATCGAACTGATACTATCATCATACTGATTGCATATATAAGTGAAAAACGTGCATATAATTTCAGTTCAGTTTTGTTTATTACCCTTTCTTTTGCATATTAAAGTATTTAAATAAAGAGGGGGAAAGCAAAGTTATTTTCATGCGAGAATTTGAAATCAGTTTATTTCAAACTCAATGTTTACCGATAATTCGATAAAAGGCCGTTTAGTTTTAAGAACATTTTAAAACGTTTTGCGAAGCGTTTGTGGTTGAATTTTACATTAAATGGAAGCTTATATTACGTATAATAACATACCTAGCATATATATGTTTGGGAAATTGAAAATTTTGTTATAAAAAGTGATATTTTGGGGGAGTTTTCAATTTTAAAACTATTCTTAAAATTATCGTGTTACCATGACAACTACTTTCAATTCTTCATGTTCAGAAAACATAATGTTTTGTCAGTTAGGCGAGGGTTTCTCCATGCATGTATTTTTTGGTATTAATGAAAAACTCAAAATTTTCGATGACGTACTTCAGACCACCCTCGATTCTCATGCCCCAATACAGACCCTAAAAGTCAGAGACAGACCGTGCCCTTTTGTGACACCTGAAATAAGAGAACTGATGGGCAAGAGAGATCGACTACACGGCCTTTTTCTTAAGACACGAAACCACAGCGATTAGTGCAACTTCAAAGCAGCTCGTAACGCTGTTAAGACCGAAATCATTAAAGCACAAAGAAATCATGTCTACAATGAAGTGATGAAGCATAAAAACAACACGGGTTCCTTATGGAAAATTTCAAAGATACTGTAGCTTACAAAGAAAAAGAGACGGTCGTCTATAGCAAAGACCCAAAGATAGTTGCTGAAGAGTTCAACCACTTTTTTCTGCTGTTGGGGAGAACACAGCCATAGCAGCATCTCAATTATTACAAGATTATAATATTTACCCTGATACTCCACCCACTACAGCGCTTAATAGAAATTACCCTGTATACGAATCTGAGATGTTTAATTTTGACCCTGTCTTCTGTTCTGAAGTTAAAAACATATAATGTCGATGCCCACCAACAAGGCTCCAGGCAAAGCTAAAGTAAGCATGTGAATTATTAAGGACTGCTTATACCAGTCATTCTCGGACGATTAACAGATATTATTAATGCTTCACCGACGTCTTCTGAGTTCCCACAATCTTGGAAGGAGGCGGAAGTTATTCCACTAATAAAGGAGGGTGATCATGAACTACCATCCAACAATCGTCCCCTTTCCTTACTTATAGTTGTGTCAATTTACAACGGGTCGTTTTATGCCAATTTACAACATTTTTGTTCCATAATGAATGTCTGACATCGCATCAAAGCGGTAACAGAAAATATCATTCCTCGGAAACTTTGAACGTTTTGGTTGATGATATCTGTAAATGCAAATCTGTAAATGCACTTATACTATTAGATTTGTCGAAGGCATTTGATAGCGTACATCACCAAGCATTGCTTAACAAGTTAAGACACATTGTTAAGACACACTACTTAACGGGCAGATCACAATTTGTCCGTATCGGAACGGCTGTTTCGTCATCTCTTAACATCACTCACGGGGTTCCACAGGGTGCTATTTTATCTCCACTCTTGTTTAGCATCTATGTAAACGAGTTAGCACTGGCCCCAAGTCACAGCTCCCGTAATTCATATGTTGATGATTCAAAGATGTTTTTGTCATTTCGTGTTAAAGACGCAGCTGACACGAAAGAGTACCTTCAGGAAGATCTCAGCCAAGTAGCAAAGTGCTGCTCTGAACTTCATCTACTTATTAACCCGGAGAAAACCAAGTATTTACTTATCAGAACGCGACAACAGTTACAAAATCTCCCTACAGATATGTGCCTAAATTTTCTAGGTGAGACTATCAAGCCAGTTCCTTCAGCCAAGGATTTAGGATTAATAAGGGACACCAACATGTCATACGATTGCCATATCACCGAATTAGTCTCCTCTTGCATGTCCAAATTGTCACAGATCAACCGAGTAAGGAAATGTTTTGATAAAGAAACTATATCCCTCTTGGTCAGGGGCGGACATATCGATTTTGACTGGGAGGGTGTAATCACGAAATGAGACCGACTCACCACTGAAATGTGAATCCAGACCGACTCTTGGTGAGTTGGTGTGTTGCAATAAAATTGAGTACAAAGCATGGAAATTGATGGAATTTATTAGGAATTTTGGAAGAACACGTACAGTTTGCTGTGAAATGTTATATTTTTATTAAGTGTCCGCGCTTAGTCAGGTTTGACCATGGATTAGATTTCGTCAAGATCGATCGTGTCTGTTAGATCGCGCTCACACGAAAAGGGTCAAGAGTTCATCGAGGCGTTCCTGGTTCATTACTGAACACATAACAGTTTTCACTGATTTCAGCTTTGAAAAGCTGCGCTCGGCTGATGCGGATGTTACAGGAACTGTCAGGCTCGTAACTATAGGATTTTTGATTGACCGAGACACTTCTGTGGATGTCTGGGGGCATGCTCCCCCAGAAAATTTTTGATTTTCTAAGGCTTAGAAGCGCTATTTCCTGCATTCTGAGTGATTCTGGGAGCAGTTCAAACGAAATATCAATTTCATAAACAGTGACACAGTGACTATAATTTTATACTGTAGTTTTCCCCCAATCCTGAGGCTAAGAATTACAAATATTTTTGGTCGAACATCATTGATCAGGTGCATAATAAAAAAGTGTTTGTGCTCAATTGTTGTAATATTTGGGCGCTAGCCCGCACTTTTGTTAGTGGGGTACTTGTGCACCCATACAGCCTCCCATTTCTTATGTCACTGTAGGGCAAGAATAATGCTTCTTTACATAGAGAGAACTATACTGTCTGTCATTGAACTTGAACGCGATTGACTTGTATACCTAGTTATGGGCCTGACTGTAAGCAACAATTGGAAACATCGCCTAGTCAGTGGAAACAATTTTTCGCTCCGTGATTTCAGATAAAACAGTGCGTCGTTCACTGATCGAATTTCTTGATTGCAGTAGGCACATCAAACTCTTTGGTAACAAAATGCATATGCATATCGTGTTACATGTGAACATACTTCCTAATATAACTCGGCTAGAAATTCGTTTTTGCACTTTACATCTTAAAAATATAGTTTAGGGACCGGAGAAATATTGTAACTAATGTTAGCTATTTTGATCGAGATTCATCGCATTTTGGAGTCTGATTTTGGGGGTTTGAAATTTTCGCTAATATAGAATATCACCCTAAATGACCTTGCAGAATCTAAATTCCAAATAAAAGTGCCAACACATAATCGTGACATATAGATATCTCCATGTTTGGAAAGTAAATGGAAACTTCCTCCCCTGGCGCGTGTTTTGACTGATAATTCGTTCATAAACTCGCGAAATAAGTACGTAATATTTCTTCATATTATTTCTGTTTGAGCAAATTTTCAACTCAATACTCAATAGTCTGAGTCTATCTCGAGTTTCGAAAATATTTAATTTGCTTCGCAAAGCACTGCATGTAAACAAACGCATAATTTTGAGACCGACTGCACGTAGTTTGAGACAGACTGGGTCATTTCTCTGGGGGGGTGAACCGCCCCCCCCCCTCCCCACACCCCCACCCCCCAATTATTAATCAATACTCGGACCACACGTCCGAGTTTACATGGAATTATAAGAACATAGTCTATTTTACATTAATTATTTATATCAATAATTTAATAAAACTAGTAAAATTCTACAATATTGTTAAAAATTATTAAAATGTATCATACACTAGATAAAATTGAAAAGACATCTATTTACAAAAGATTTTTTAAATCTTTCAGTTCTTACTAAGGGCAGCTCAAAGTCATGTCCCCTTTGCCTTAACGTTCGATTTAATTTATTTGGTAAAAGTTCTCTTAGTGCATTATTTTCATCATCTAATATTTTTTTCCATAATCTCTTGTCTCTCTTATTAATTATTTCTCTAAAATTAGATTTCTCTGTTACATACCCATTACGGTATGCACGATTTATAAACTTATCAATCTGACTAATGTATTTAGTGTAAGATGCTCCTCCCCAAAGTTCAGTTCCGAAAGTGAATAATGACATTATTAAACTCTGAAAGAGAAGTTCTAACTGCTTTGTTGTAAAACCATAATATATTAAGCTTAGTATCAAACATTAAAAGTCTTGCATATTTCCTTTATAGTATCAATTCGTAATGTCGTCTTAGTAATTAGTTTGTGTATATTAGCCGAGGCAATAAGAGTGCAGGTATATACGTATCCAGTGAAATAGTGGCCGGGCTACATAATATGATATTACTAGTGGACGGGTATTCTGCAGTGTGTCCTTGCACGCTATAGTTATCTTATATACTGATTCTTTTCAATTGATATATAGTTTTAACTCGCTATAACAGTTCATGAGTATTTTCAGAACAATAAAAACAAATTTGTAGATTTACTATGGCATCGCGAAGCAAATCGTTCATCTTTCTACACGTGGTCGAATAACAACGTAGAGTGATGGATATATGGTGTACCAGTTGGTTACGTAGGGTACAAAGGGATCCATCGATAACGCGCGGATGACTGGACGCGGATCAATGATGCGTCCAACTATCAATGAGGAGTCCGACTGTCTACGGAAAATAAAATTTGCAGCGTCGCCGAACCCATGAAGTTCGCACGACTGAATTTCACCGCTTACGTTGGTATAAACACATCTGTAATTCAATGTTATTGTTTCAACTCTCACAGTAGCCTGCTCGCAGACGTTATTCTTATCTCGACCAATCAGAATTTACCTTCCAAATTCTGGAAAGTGACGTCAGTTGATTTAGGAGCGGAATAAATATAAATATATATTTTGAAAGCAGTCGTCGGTTGAATTTTGGTTAAAATTGCACATAAATTGAATTTAAAGATACTGATACTTGTCCAGGTAATAAAATGCACCATTATAATGATCAGATTTGGATATTAAAGATGTTCGGTTATATTTAAAACGCGGACAAGATTGGCATATTTATACTGTAAGAATCTAGGCCAGACAAAGTCAAATGCCGAATTATATATTTCGCGGATGTTTATCTTTATAAGACAACAGAACTCGGAAGACAGAAAATTTTATATAATACTGTGGCTTAGAAAGCGAAATATTAGCTTCAAAGTAAACTAATTTGCTGTTTGAGCAACCACTTCTGAATGTAAACTGTAAACACAACACAAACCCGAGAAATTTGTCTATTAAAACTGCGCCGAGATGAATTTTCCAATTCGTCCAAACGTCGAAACGTTATACTCTAACTTGTCTATATTTTTCTACATGACAATGAGTGCTCAATCTTTTAAAAGTTTTCGTCGAAGTCATGGCATATAGAAAGTATCAAGAGCAACATGCGAGAAGATGATCACAATATTATTCTACGTAAACATCGTGAAGTTCAACGCTATAGTTTCCAAAATATATCCACGCAAGTAAACAAATTTCAAGTTTCAACCAAAACAATCATATATAATATATGTTATTATTCCCATGCATGTGCAAGGGCTTTCCCCAGTAGCTAATCTGTCAATAAGGCGGCTTCCAATTGGCTCTAACTTTTTTGAACACTGAAAGATGATTGGCTCCTAGAACAAAGGGAATTGAATGTGCAGCTCGGGTAAGCAGACGTTAGTTTTTCGTCGCTTGGCGTAAGAATAACAACGTCTGTGAGCAGGCTATAGTGATGGGCGATACCAGCTTTTTTGGTTTCGACACGATACCAGTCCGATACCATGAATTTTGGTCGGTACCGATACCAAAATCGTTGCCGATATTCAATTTTTTTCCATTTGTTAAAAGAATTTTAAAACAAGAACATTAATGTTAACAAGTCAAATAATACTTTACCTGGAGTACCTGCCAAATAATCGCACATAACATTTGTAATTATGATTTTAAATCTGAACAATATCAACGTGTTCAATGTTTTCCTTATATATATATATATATATATATATATATATATATATATATATATATATATATATATATATATATATATATATATATATATATATATATATATATATATATATATATCATGGTATTTTTTGTCAAGTGTTTGTTTCACTTACGACATATCACTGTTTAACTCAATTACCTCGTATTCCTTCCACTCGCGAGTTACTAAACTACTGTCACATATAGTTTAGCTGCAGGCCTTGTGACCCTGCATGGACGCTTAAAAGGAAAGAATACACACACACAAGGATTTTAAGATTTTATTTACTCAGCCATTACATAATCTGCAGCTAAACTATATGTGACAGTAGTTTAGTAACTCGCGAGTGGAAGGAATACGAGGTAATTGAGTTAAACAGTGATATGTCGTAAGTGAAACAAACACTTGACAAAAAACACCATGATATGTAGCTCATAGTGCATTATGCAGAAAGTACTTGCCGTGCTATTCGAGCACTCTATGCCATTTTATTATAGTTGAAAACGGTTTGCACCAGTTACTCGCATCCGGTCAATCCCCACAAGATGGGTTCATCCCGGGCAAGCTTTGTAACAGATTCTATAACCTGAAGGAAACAGGACAAATGCGGCAGTTTATATATATATATATATATATATATATATATATATATATATATATATATATATATATATATATATATATATATATATATATATATATATATTGCTAATTAGGTACATATATATATTGCTATATATATATATATATATATATATTGCTATATATATATATTAGCTATATATATATATATATTGCTAATTAGCTACATATTTTTGTTTAAGAACAGCATCATGTCAACATTTTTTGCCTTCAGTCTGTTGCCTTGATGAAGTATTAAGCGATTGGACAGGAAGACTGACCAAAAACATCGCAGGATCAAGTGGTATCGAATTACCAATACTTTTTGCGAGTATCGAAAGTATCGATACTTTCGTAAGTATCGATGATTTCGATGCTTTATCGATAGTATCGCCCATCACTAGCAGGCTACTCTCACAGAGACCAGT